AAAATACATATTTTAAAGATAAATCATAAAAAGTGGCTGAATTTTATTTGGAATGAATCTAAATTTTGAAATGTGAAAGGAAGAATCAAATAAGTTTAATAAATATATATCAAATTCAATTAACATGGAAGAGCTAAAATTTTGAGAGTTAATTTTTTTTTTAAACTACTTGTGCACTTTTTACAAAACTTGCTGTAACATGTAACGTAAGTCATAGTTTTGCGACATGGGAAACGCAAGTTAAGTTTCGACAATCGGTTAAGCAGAATAGAGATACAGAACTGTTCCTTTTGTGTGTGTGTGTGTGCAAAGTGTACCTCTGTTTACTTGAAGAACTGGGAGAAGATGATCTAACTGATAAACCAACAGACTGTCAAGCATTAATAGATTAGATAAAGAAACCAAAACAAAGTAGTAGTTCAAGGCACATTATCTGGCATCTAGACATTTCTTTGTAAAAGATGAATATGAAATGAATCAAATCATTCCTCAGTTTGTGTGTTCACAAAATCAAGAAGCGGACATTTTAACAAAATAGCTATCTCATGTAAAATTGAAAGATGGTCTTTTAAAGTGTGGACATAACCGACTAATTACAATTATATCTTTAAACGTGAATAAGGGATGCAGGGAATTGATATTATTTGTTTGTAAACGTATAATTTTAAGTTTTAATATTTGACAACACTGATATCTTCTTTATTGTAAAAGATTGAGTTTAAATGTATCTGGCATCTAGACATATTATTATGGTTTTGGAGAATGTTGCAAGGCTTGTTGTGATAAATTTTATTTAATAAAGTTTTCTTTTATATATTACTATATACATACAGTCAAAAGTCGTTAATTCGGACACCCATAATCCGGAATGATCTATAATCCGGACCTCAAAGCTTCAAACTTTCTGCGCATGCGTCGCGTTCACGCATGCACACAGGCGTTTACGAGAGCGCGTAAGACCCCTTACGGCTGCGAATATGTTTGTGCGCATGCGCGTTTAATGTGTAACGGAGTTATACGCCAAGCTAAAGTTATCTAATTCAGTTAATGTTGCTGATTGCGTTGTTCCTTAATCTTTGAATTGGATCCGGCTTATTATTTTTTGCAGACTGTTAGAGCAATTTTATAAAAGTAAGCTTGAACTTTCGATTATGTCAAATAGAATTTCTGATATATATTTACTACAAAGCGAAAGTATGTTTTGAAATCCGAAATCTGTTTATCAATTTCACGCTGCTCTGCGGCAGAGGGGGGGGGCAGAAACGTCATTATTAGATTATGATAGATTAGAAAGATTATGTCAAATAGAATTTCCGATATATATTTACTAATATGTAATTTGTATCTACAAAGCGAAAGTATGTTTTGAAATCCGAAATCTGTTTATCAATTTCACACCCCGGATTGGAAGTTGATCTGTCAGCACTATCCTTATCTTCAGGGCAGATGTTTTTATTTTATTTGGTTTATAATTCCGTACTAAGTGTAGTATTTCATCTCGATATACTCCGTCTTTGATATGATTTAAATCAAGTTCCTCGTCATTATAATTCCCTTCCGATAGTGAAGAAAGTGACCCAGAGGTTATTGAAAACGAAAACATTTCGATTGACAAATTAGTCGGTATTCTCAACACAGCAATTATAGGACTTGAACAGCGGAACTTTGTAACTAAACAAGAAATTATGTCTGTTTAATAGAATTAAAGAGAAAGTATTATCACATGAAACGAAGCAACTTACATTGAAGGAAATGTTTAATAAAGTAAACAAATAAATATTAAGCTTTTTCTTTTTGTAAATTTTGATACCCTTTAGATCATAATTGTTCTTTATTTAATAAATTACGGTTTCATATTTTTAATTTTGTAATTTCTGCATGCCATCTTACGAGATTTAAACTGATGATCTATAATCCGGAAAAATCGATAATCCAGAATCGCCGAAGTCCCGACGAGTCTGGATTAACGACTTTTGACTGTATATATATTAGAAGCAGATAATTTTTACAATATATAATTTATGACTATTTTCATCAATAAGTACCTGATAATATTATTTGATTAACTTAATTTAATCACATAGATCATATTCCTTTCATCCACATAAACATAGTTTTAAATGATGCATTTTGGTGTCTTTATTTCTTATCAGTATGGTAGTTAAAGCTTATTGGTTTCATGAAGGCAATCTGGCATACAAGTTGTCTCCATTAAACACCATACTGCCCAGGCAACAGATATCAACATCATTAAAAATTTTAAGCTGATCCTCATGATTAAAAGACAATGGCCTTTAGATTACTATCAATGAAATATGATTAAAAAACATTTCAACTGGAAGTGAAAATAAACTGCAGTTATTAAAAACGTATATGGTCTACCGGAAAATTCTGCCCATTTTGGCAGTGAAAGAAAATACATTTTTCCTATCTTTAATAAAATATATTGTACAATATAATTTCTGTTACTATTTATGATCTCTTGCCAGCATGATGGTAATTTGTAAATACCATTTTTGAAAAATGTCTTTTCCTTGGAGGAGAAGAAATTCAAGTACTGCTTGTCTGACATCTGCTTCAGTTTTGAATTTTTTCCCTTAAAAAAATTTTGCATGGAAAGAAACAAGTGATACATGAAGGGTCTTAGATCTGATGTGCAGTTAAGCTTTTCCACAATCTCTGATGTTCTAAATTCTACAGCATTTCTTCCCATTTGGTATTCGTACAAAATACAGCATCATAAAAGAACTTTATCTGTATCCATGTTTATACGATAGCATCTCAATAATAACATGAGAAATTTTTGTTTCAGTTAATTTAGAACAACACATATGTATAAATACAGTGATAAAGAGAGATAGCCTTTATAACTGTATCATATGTCAAATGAACACATGCATGTATGTTGAAACTGAAAGTAACATTATCAGACAGAACTTTGCGGTAGACCTTGAATATCATCATAATATTATTTGATTAACTTAATTTAATCACATATGAATAAATAAACCATAAATAAACAAAAATAACAAAAACTACATACAGTCAAAAGTCGTTAATCCGGACTCGTCGGGACCTCGGCGATTCCGGATTATAGATCATCAGTTTAAATCTGGTAAGATGGCATGCAGAAATTATAAAATTAAAAATATGAAACTTTAATTTATGAAATAAAGAACAATTATGATCTAAAGGGTATCAAAATTTACAAAAAAAAAGCTGAATATTTATTTGTTTACTTTACTTTCTTCGCTATCGGAAGCGAATTATAATGACGAGGAATTTGATTTAAATCATATCAAAGACGGAGTACAGAGATCAAATACTACATTTAGTAGGGAATTGTAAGCCAAATAAAATAAAAACATCTACCCTGAAGATAAGGATAGTGCTGACAGATCAACTTCCAATTCATTGCGCGCCGCGGCATCCCCTCGCCACAGAGCAGCATGAAATTGATAAACAGATTTCGGAATGGTTAGATAAACAAAGGATATGCTTTTATCCATTTTTTTGCAGCAATTCCACATTTTGTTTAATGGACTTCGAAACATACTTTCGCTTTGTTTACATATTAGTAAATACACTCAAAAGTCTTTAATCCGGACTCGTCGGGACTTCGGTGATTCCGGATTATCGATTTTTCCGGATTATAGATCATCAGTTTAAATCTGGTAAGATTGCATGCAGAAATTATAAAATTAAAAATATGAAACCGTAATTTATAAAATAATGAGCAATTATGATCTAAAGGGTATGAAAATTTACAAAAAAAAAGCTTAATATTTATTTGTTTACTTTATTAAACATTTCTTTCAACGCGCGCATGCGTAAAGCATACATTATGCATAGCCGAAATTAGAAAATTACAACCAGAAAACTATTTGATTTGTATTCGTGATATTTATAATGACGAGGAATTTGATTTAAATCATATCAAAGACAAAGTACATCGAGCTGAAATACTATATTTAATAAGGAATTATAAGCCAAATAAAATAAAAACATCTGCCCTGAAGATAACGATAGTGTTGACAGATCAACTTCCAGTTCATTGCGCACCGCCACGTTTCCCCCCCACACACACACACGCGCACGCAGAGCAGTGTGAAATTGTTAAACAGATTTCGGAACGGTTAGATAAAAAAAGGATATGCCTTTATCCATTTTTTGGAGCAATTCCACTTTTTGTTTGATGGACATCGAAACATACTTTCGTTTTCGTAGATCCTTTGGGAGCTCTACCATCGGAAATTCTATTTGACATAATCGAAAGTTCGAGCTTACTTTTATAAAATTGCTCTTACAGTCTGCAAAAAATAATAAGCCGGATCCAATTCGAAGATTAAGGAACAACGCAATCATCAACATTAACTGAAATAGATAATTAGATAATTTTAGCTTATACTGTCCGTTATACATTAAACGCCCAGCGAAAATGTATTCTGCGCTTGTGCACATGCAAATGTGCAGTCGTAAAAGTCTTACGCACATGCTTAAACACCTATGTGCATGCGTTAACGCGGCGCATGCGCAGAAAGTTTTTAGCTTTGAGGTTCGGATTATGGGTGTCCGAATTAACGACTTTTGACTGTATATATCAGAAATTCTATTAGACATAATCGAAAGTTCAAGCTTACTTTTATAAAATTGCTCTAACAGTCTGCAAAAAATAATAAGCCGGATCCAATTCAAAGATTAAGGAATAAAGCAATCTGCAAGATTAACTGAATTAGATAATTTTAGCTTAGCTTATACCGTCCGTTATACATTAAACGTGCATGCGTAAACGTATTTTGGGCATGCGCACACGCATATTCGCAGCCGTAAAGGGCTTGCGTGACACATGCACAGAAAGTTTGTAGTTTTGAGGTCCGGATTATGGGTGTCCAAATTAACGACTTTTGACTGTATTTATTTTTTTTAAACCTAAATGTTTGATAAACTATTCTATTCGTACAAATATGAAATTATAGTTATAAAATTAATTACAAAAATACCTGTTTGGTTCTGTAGGAGACCAAGCAATGTCAACTTTCATTGCAGACATTCTTATTAGTACTATTCTTGGGCTTGAAGTTTCTAGGGAAGAAATTTTAGCAAATTATCACAAAATATGCATGTTACTGGACTATTTTTTGTCAAGTGTAATAATTACTGATATTTGTAAAAATAAACATGTGGCTATGAAATTTTAATAGCACTTTGGACTGAAATTTTAATAGCACAAGTGTGACCGATATGCAAAGGAAAAAAAAAAAAAAAATTTATCGATCATTGAGTTGTACACAAAATAAAACCCAAATATATTGAAAAATACACAGAACAAAAAATAATAATAATGCAGATAAAGAATATGATGCAATTTGAAAATAGTCTTTCTTGTCACCAATTAGAAAACAAAGCCAAAAATATCAACTAGCAACATGCATTAAGTTTATTGATTGATTACACAAGATGCACCTTAAAGTGTGCACCTTAATTATGGATTATATGCACCTTAAAGTGGTATAGCTAGGGAGCAGTAAGGCAAGACATCTATTCCCAGGTGCAGAATCCAGAGGGCATCAGTTTGATGCCCTCTGGATTCTCTCCCTCGTAGCATTTTGGTAAATAGGATGGGGTGTGAGATCTTCAGTTGCCCCTACGTGCCTGAAACCCTAGCTATGCCTTTGACACTTTATATCTGATTATGCAAATGCACTAAAACATACACAGTAGAAACTAAGATCAATAAAAAATATCTTCCAAAGATCTAAAATTAATAAATATTTTAGGAAAAAAGTATTTTTTCAAAAGCATGAGCAGAAAGCAAAATAGTTTTATGCAGTTTCTGATTATTTGAACCCTACCAAAACCACCACACACACACACGCATGGATACAAACTCACCAATTCACTGGCAAGTTTGCGAACTGGTGAAAAATGTTTGTTTTTCATAGTTACCAATGTTTGTTTCGTAGTTTTTCATAGTTTGGTAATTTATAGTTATCATTCTGTTGATAAATCCTGCTTTTTATAAATAATTATAATAATCAGCACTTAATAAAGAAACAAGAAATTTTAAGTGGGGGGCCGAAATCAGTATGGTTGATGTTTACATCTCTATAGCTGATCAATATTTTCAGTGAAATGGTGATTAAATATAAAGTATATAAATACACAAGTACTCAAACATATATGCTGTATGCGCTTGAATGAATTAGGTATTCCTGCACATTTGCTCGGAAATATGTCAAAAACACAGTAATTCAACCAAATATTGAAACTCATACTGTAGACCAGGGATGAGCAAACTATGGACCGCGGGCCAACTCCAGCCTGCTAGAAGATTCTATCCAGCCCGTGGATAAAATTTTAATTTGCCGGTCCGAGGCAAATTAAAAGACATATATAAATATGCATTTATATATTATATACTATCCCCTTTTCTACTTTGTTTAAATATTATTTTTTTATTCCTTTTTTTCAAAAGGCTGATGATCTTTTTACTTTCTCTATTTCTGTTCTTCAAAACATAAATTTGTAGAACAGAAATGACAAGCACAGACATGTTGACAGAAAGAACAAGCACAGACAGCTTTCAATTGGTAAAGTGGTAAAAACGGAAGTTCTTTGTTAGTTGTAGCTGTAGATTGGCGCCAACAGGCGTTATCTCTTTCTCGGGGAGTAGACATATGGGAATCCAATAAAGGACCAATAAGACCTCTTAGAAAAAACTTAATCTTAATTATCTTAACTTAAAAACTTAATAAGAAAATTTAATCTGTTTGCTGGGCAGCTAGCTAAGAACGGCTTGTCTCATTTTCAGAGGTTAAGTTCAATGCCCTCAGTAAATGAAGAGAAGCTTAAGGATTATGAAGATTGTTTGAAAAAAACTGGATTTTGAGTTCGAACGAAGATTTCAAGATTTCAGTGCCATTCAAACAGAATTGGATATTTTTACCATGCCTTTCAACGTAAACTGTGAAGCAGCGAGGTCAGTTTTGCAGGTTGAATCAACTGAGTTGCAATCTAACAGTGAGGTCAGTTTTGCAGGTTGAATCAACTGAGTTGCAATCTAAAAATCATCTCAAGCAGTTTTTTCTAAATGTGCCAAAGCTAGAGTTTTATAAATCATTATCGAAAGTAAGCTTCTCAAATTTAATATCTCATGCCCAGAAAATCAGTGCTATGTTTGCTTCACCTAATATATGTGAATAAGTGTCTTCAACTATTAACTCAGAAAGAATTATTTCAGAAGTAGACTGACAGATAGGCATTTAACCTTGTTCCTTAGAATCAGTACATCTCACTTCAAAACTCAATACAAGGAACTTTTAAAAATGAAATCGCAATTTCATGCATCTCATTAACATATCTAAATTTTAATACTTATATATTGTTTTTTAAATTTTAGAAAAAATTATCTTGGCCGACCAAACTTTTTGCTTCCGATTTTTGGCACGTGACTGAAAATGCATGCCCATCCCAGTTATAGACTATCAGAAAGTAACACAGTTCACTTAATCCATTCGCGCCGGCTGTCACGTCTACGTGCCAGCAACGAACACACTCACTTCTCGGCCGACACACAGGCGTGCCAGAGCATTTTCCCATTCAGCCCCGACTGTCACGTATTTGTGCCAGTGTCCTGGAACGTTTTAAAAACTATAATTTCTGCCACAAGATGGCACTGTATGTCCATATGGTTTCAGATACATGTACATTAGACCTTCTACTCGAAATGAGAGAAGCATGACTCACATACACGTGTTTTTGATTATATAAACAAAAGAGGAAATAAATGTTTCCGAATGGCGCGATTTATGACGTCGCTTTAAATTCGCACGTGGTAGTTGTTTATTGTAAGTAGAGAAGTTTTATTTTCGCTAAAGCGTTGGGTATTTCGGTTTGCAGTTCAGTTTTTAGAAAATAATTAGATCTTGTTAGACGTGAATTCTTTCTGTTTTTACCCGTTCCAATGTCCAAGCGTCGAAAGTGTTTAACAGAGCATGAAATAGCAGAAATGATGCAAAATATTTCAGAAATTAATTCTGAAACAGATTCTGATAGTAGTGATAGTGATACTATGATATATTCTGATCATAAAGAATCTGGCGAATCTAATGATGATGAGGACATTTCGGACAGATGTATGCCGAGTACGTCGGCATACAGATTTCCGAAATGTCCTCATCATCATTAATCCTTAATTAATTAATGTCCTCATTATCAATGTTGTTATTACGAGTGTAAGGAATGTAACGTAGAACTGTGTCTAGATCCCTGTTTTCAATTTTTTCATACGAAAAGAGAATTTTAAGTAATACAGTCAAAAGTCGTTAATCCAGACTCATCGAGGACTTCGGCGATTCCGGATTATAGATCATCAGTTTAAATCTCGTAAGATGGCATGCAGAAATTCTAAAATTAAAAATATGAAACCGTGATTTATGAAATAAAGAACAATTATGATCTAAAGGGTATCAAAATTTACAAAAAAAAGCTTAATATTTGTTTACTTTATTAAACATTTCTTTCAATGTAAGTTGTTTAAGATGCTTCGTTTTATGTGATAATACTTTCTCTTTAATTCTATAAACAGACATAATTTCTTGTTTAGTTACAAAGTTCCGCTGTTCAAGTCCCGTAATTGCTGTGCCGAGAATACTGACTAACTTGTCAATCAAAATTTTTTCGTTTTCACTAACCTCTCTGTCACCTTCTTCATGTCTTTATCCATTTTTTGTTTGATGGACATTGAAACATACTTTCGTTTTGTAGATCCTTTGGGAGCTCCAGCATCGGAAATTCTATTTGACATAATCGAAAGTTCAAGTTTACTTTTATAAAATTGCTCTTACAGTCTGCAAAAAATAATAAGTCGGATCCAATTCGAAGATGAAGGAACAATGCAATCATCAACATTAACTGAAATAGATACTTAGATAATTTTAGCTTATACTGTACGTTATACATAAAACACGCACGCGAAAACGTATTCTACGCTTGCGCACACGCATATGCGCAGTTGTAAAGGTCTTACATGTAAACGCCTATGAGCATGTGTCAACGCAGTGCATGCGCAGAAAGTTTTTAGCTTTGAGGTCGGGATTATAGATCATTCCGGATTATGGGTGTCTGAATTAACGACTTTTGACTGTATATTTAGTTTTCAGATGTATAATGTTAAAAGTTATAAAATGGTGAGTAATGAAAATAAAATGTGTAAAATATGCATTTAAACAAGAAATAAGGTAATTAAAGTATATATAAAAATATCTATAAAGCATAAGCCGTTTAAATACTCTATAGAGCATTATTAAACAATAAAACGGAAATTTCATGGATTTAGGCTTAATAGCAAAAAAGCCCCCGGCCCTGAACAGGCGCTCGCGTAAGACACTGCCGGCCTCCGCGATAAGCGTGCGTTTGCGCTACCCGGCATGAAGGGGTTAAGCTTCACTGGTACATTACATTATAATTTCAGCAAATTTTGATTTTCCCTCTTTTTTCCCCCTTAATTTTCTATTGCTAATTTATGGAGATGACAGCTAGTATTTTATTTCCTAGTTTACCGATAAGAACTTATTTCAAAGCTCTTTATTAGCTCTTATAACTTTTCATAAGTTTTCCTTTTATACTAAATTTTGGACTTTTCTTGTTTGCCATATCTAGAAATACAGAAAGTTTACTATTTTATTTTGAATTTATGGCTGAAACAAGGATACCATATTTCTTGAAAGGCAAATACAGATGAAAATGAGAACAAATATGAGAAAAAAAGTTGCCAATAAAAAAGAAATATTTAAAACTAAATAAATATTTACGTGCTTTACAGAAGAAATGGATTTTCTTGAATAACTTATGTTCATTTTTATCATTCCATAGAAATCATTTTGACAGTTTCTTGCTTCAAAGCTATTTCAATGTCTAGAAGATTATTTATTTACTTTTTAGAAATGCTACACATAATTTCCAAAGCTAAATTTATAATAATTATAGACCTATTATCCAATTATTATAGTTACATATACCAATTTCAACATCAGATATAAGGCCCACAAGCGGCCGAGCGGTCTGGTGGTTGAACACTGGTA